TATATATATATATATATATATATATATATATATATATATATATATAAATATTATATGGTATTATTTATCTCGTCGCCGTGCGCCGGTTACCTTGCGTGTGTCCCGTGAATGTGATGTAACCGGCGAGCGCGAACACGACGGTTGTGAGGAAGCTGACTAACACGGAGATGTGAGTCGTCTGGTTCCAGCGACGCAGCGTCGGCTGCTCCAGGGAGTCGTAGATCAGAAACGAGTTGTGATGACACATGAAAGCTGCAACGGACGCGACGCGAGAGGGAGCGTGTACATATTGATTTCCCGTCTCAGTCTTTGCGTGCGCGGGCGTGCGAAACGGTGAATGACTGACGACACGCCCACACATAAACGAATCTGTCCGGATTATGCACTACACGCGTGGCGTCTAGATGACCGTGTATATTAGCTAAATGCCTGAGTGCAAATGCACATACGGGTAAAGCAATACGTTTGCCGAGAGCTCTGTCACTCTTAAACAGTACAGCCGTGTATAGCGAATCATCCTCGTGCCGGGTTGTAGTTAAAATTGTACGCGTCAAATGCACGTGGGATCCAGATGACCGTAGTAATTTAGCTAAACACTGAGTCCACGTGAGTAGACGAATATAATTGACATGGTTTCTAAGACTGGCGAGGTACCATTGACCAGATTGTAGATTTGCAGTTCATCACTGCACGATTCAAGCTATTCGCTGGGCGTGAATTTTATGAACAATTTTCATTAATAACGGACTCCGTCGAACCATCATAAAACCGTTCGCCACCTGTCCAATGTAACCTCACGCAATACGACAACACTATAGCGTTGGCATATGTTCCCAGCACGACGGGTTCCGGAAAAATCGTACCTGCCCCTTAATGGAGACTCGGTGTGCAAAACGCGCGTTGCAGATTGGTCGTAAAACAGCATCACGTGAAAATACATCAGTCGGAGTGTTCTCTCTACTCACCGAACGACATGATACCGATGGCCTGTGTTACGTTTTTATTCGCAAAGTTCCAAGCACCTTCCGTCACCGGACTGAAAACAACGGGATATCATTATAGCTCCTCGGAGAGAACTGAGTGCAATTTTGCTCATGAAATTGTCACGTTAAATGCGCGTACATATATATTCGTTTGCCCTTAATTGTAAATCTCGGAAGCCAACTAAACGTGCAGGCGAAGGTGTGTGCGGAAAGGAAGGATGGGTTGTGATTCGGGAGGTCTTCACGACCCCTGCGTAGCGCAGCATCGATCCGCAGGCACGGGGTGAAAGGTCACGAACCCTATGACCTACGTGACGCTCGTAAAGTGCGATGTGAGTAGGAAAATTGGTCGCAGAAAAATTTGTCGCACGGAAAATTGGTCACAGGGAAATATGTCGCACGTAAAATTGGTAACCGGAAATTTGGTCACAAATAGTAAACCTTATAGAGTAATACTGCTTCCTCCTTCTCTCTCTTTCTTCCTCCTCATCACGCACCTATCTCTACTGTTGTCTCTTCTTATTCGCCCACCTCTCCACTTCTTCCCTCCTTCCCCTCCTCCTCTACCACATTCTTTCTCTTCCAACCTTCTCCCCTTGTACAGGCTTTTGCCAGCTCCTTCCTCCTCAAGCTTTTCACCATCTTCACCTCCCCCTCTACCGCCCCCTTCCTCTGGTCTCTACCGCCCCCTATTCCACATTCTATGCTTCCTTTCCATTCTATACTTTATCTCCCTTCCCCACCCTCTGCCCCTCTTCCCATCTCATCCTCCAACTCAACCTTCCTACTTAACTTCCCCCCCCCCAACTCTCCTGCTTCTCTCGCTCCGCCTTCCCTTCTCTCCATTCTTTTCACTTGTATCACCCACCTCATTTCCCCACATTTCTCTCTCTCTCTCTCTCTCTCTCGCTCTCTCTCTCATCCTCCCTTCCTCATCTACCTCCTCTGCTCCCTCTTTTTCTCGTTGTGGTAGCAACCTAAGGCTCACTATCTGTGACCAATTTTCTGGGTTCTAGTGCGAGTATGGCGTGCGTGCATCTCGTGAAGCTTTGTTCTATCATGAGTCTTCTTGATCGGGCACGGCGAGGAGAAAGACGTGTTTTCTTGGGTGTATGATAAAAGAACAGGTTTCTGTAGAAGAGCTTTATAGCAGTGGTCGAGGGCGAAAGTAAGCAGAACGAGAGAAAGAAAGAGAAAAGCCGTAGGTTTTTGGCACTCCAATCGGAAGCAGGTGACAAAGCGCCATAGCGATAGAGATAGATAGATAGATAGATAGATAGATAGATAGATAGATAGATAGATAAATAGATAGATAGATAGATAGATAAATGGGATATATAGATAAATAGATAGATAGATAGAGAGAGATCTGAGAGGCAGAAAGAGAGACGGAGAGAGACAGAGAGAAAGAGAGAGCGCGCGCGGAAGACGAGATTTGGAGCAAGTGTGCGGAACGATTAGATGCAGGTGGGGCTGTTGTGGTGAGTGAGCGCTCAGTCGGGATCTGTTGGCGCAGAGCAATAGTCGAGTAAAATTAAGCTAAGATAAGATACCTACCCCCCACCCCCGTAAGGTAGCAAAACGTAAAATGGAGAGGACTGAGCTACAGCAATACCGACAGATAGGGCGAACTTAGTCATGTGAGAGTAGGGCTACTTCCGAGCGGAGATTCGCCGTTGGAAGTCACCGTATTTTCGATTCCTAAGTGCTGAAAATAAGCTATTTAACACTGAGAGCTCGTGTAATATTTCGCAGCTCGGTGTGGTCAGGTCAGCTTCGCATAAGGAGTATAGGCGAGCTGGCTTCCTACCGTTTGTTTCCTAGGCAACTGCTGAAAGCCAGCATGGATGGTAATTTGTACCGGGGGTTTGGATCAGCGCTGCAGTGGGAACGCCCTTCCCGTCCAGTCTGCGTCCCCCAACTAGTTCGACTGGGTAGGTACGCCGGAGCAGGTAAAATATACAAAACGCGAAGTCCATGCATGATTCATGACCTTGAAGCGTCGTGCAAGAAGGAGGGCACAGCGAGTACGTTACACATGGTTGTCACCTCTGCCAAATGAGTTAGGCTGGTATCTTGACAAGTTTATAAATGGTACTGTTAGAAACCAATTAGAGCGCGCGCGATAGAGGGCGCTATGGCGAGTGAGGGAGAGAAGGCGACAGGCAGAGACTAAGGGACAGAAGGAAATAAACACAGAGAGAAAGAAATCACTTACATGTGGGGTCCAATAGTAGCCGTCTTGACTAGAACTACTACTACGATGAAGGCGACAAATACCAGCGCAACCAATGATATCTGGCGATAAAACAAAAAACATACCGACTATAGGCATAATAGTCTGATAAACTAAATCCTAGTTGACAAGTCGAAATGTTCCTGTTAGTTGAAGCAAAACGTTGGTTATAATTAACACCTCTATTGCGTAACTCTTTCAGTCATAGTCTCTCTAACGCGTGGGCGCCGCGAAGCAATCGTAGAGAACGCGTGGTCGTCGCGTGGGCGGTCCTGTCTGCTTTCGCTCGATATGCAATACATGAGGAAATGAAGGTGAAATGATTTTCAAGAAAATATATAACGCGATGAAACATTTATGGTCTCGGTACAGTACAGACCGTAGGCCGTAAGGAATATTGAATGTCTGCGGCTCTGCGCCCAAAGCTTTCTTTCAGGCGAGTACAATTTGCATTACGGAACATCGTTGTCCCAGCTAGCAGCAGGGAAAACACCATGCAAAGCAATTAGAAATCTTGCTTTGAATTACTCTCCAAAGTTATGAAAACTGGGATCGCAAAATGGTCCGATGCATGCATGGTTAAGCAGATTTCAAGCACGCGCACATATTTGATATTATGGAGACGTAGACCTACCTTTCCCAGTCTGGCGATGTTACGATATAGAGACAGTGGCAACGTCGTCAGAAGTGTGGCCACGCAGATAATGAAGTGCCTATTACCGAGGATAGAATCTTCGCCAACTATAAAAGACGAAAAATTTATACAAAATAAAAAAAGGAAAGGATCTGGTATATACTTTATACATAACTAAATAATGAGCGTAACTGCATTGGGGGATTACCAAATAATGCCGGCGTTAGGTTAAAGGCAATGTGAAAACTTCCTATTATTTATAGCTTGTGATGAAGCATGACGCGTGTCTCCGTTATACATTCAGCGATAAAAGCATAAAGATAGAGTTTTGAGCTTGTCTTGCGAACTGGTTTTGTACTGAATATTATTTCTGTATTTTTCTTCTGTACCTCCTAGCTTTTGCTCGTTTATACGTTTGTCAAATCATCATCTCCTATGAATGTTATATAGAAAATGGAGGTTCGAGTACTGAAGAGTGCAACGCAAGTGTAGATCAAAGCACTAATGAAATGTATTAGTAGTTCCTATTTCTAGCTGTTAAAATGGTGGTCATGATTTTGCATACTCCTGAATCTGTTTCTGATGTGTGCATGTGTGTGCGCGCATATGTAAAAGGGTGGTTTAGGGATAGAGACAGAGATAAGAAGATCGATATAAAGTGAGAGAGTGAGCGAGTGAGAGAGAGAGAGAGGGGGAGGGAGGGAGGGAGAGAGGGAGAAAGAGAGAGGGTCATTGAGAAATGTGAGCATACCCTACTTTACACGAGAATGCGTAGCTAAATCATTATAGATAGTAAACCTAGCTTACACTTCACTCACGTTTAGATGTATTGATCCTGATACATCGAAAGACAACGAAATAACATATGTGAAAAGGCCGGAAGCACTCGCTTGTGTTTGCTTTGCTAAGTAATGAATGACCATGATCGCATGAACACTGAAAGCCCTTCACTGTGAAACAACAAGCAGTCACGTATCGGCTGATACGGTCTGCTAACGGTCGGCGTAGGCCTACTGTTTATTACCCTATATAATCAAATCATCGAAAAGTCCGACCTCGTCTATGCTTCAACCATGCCGTGACATACGCGCATCCGATGAGCACTATAGAACCCCCAATCATTCACTTCTGCGGTTAGTGCCCGCGTCATGCGCTCAGATTTAGAAGCTATAGCTAGATATAGAGCTATTCGGTGTTCGCAACGTGTCGTGTGAAGTGCATTCTGTCATCCATGAGCTATAGGCCGCGATTAGCTCGATTGTGGAATATACTCGTTTTTTACGCAACGCGCGAGCGCGCAATATCAGCCGGCTTTTTCGCTATAGACGTCTTCGATTGATAGCGGAGACGCCGTCTCATAGCTCCCAGTTTCTCTGAAAATGTCGCGAAAATTAACGGCGCCATCAGTTTCTGACAAGTTTGGCCAATTAAGCGCGTCTGCGCGCATGTAGGCCCCTACTTGTAACCTTCATCTCACCGCCAAGGTCGTTTGCTGCCGGCGCTGCGAATGTTCGCGTGCGAAACACATGCGATCGATTTTAATTCTCAACGGAGTTTTAGATATTCCCGTGTCTTTGATACGAAGCTATTCGGATACGAAAGGTATATGAGGTTCTGAAACGTAGTCCCTTACCTGCGATGTAAAACCTATTGCGGTGATAGTTACTACGTATCAGGAGTGAATGTAAACAAATGTCTATTTTTAATCACTTCTGAACAAACTCCATCTAAATATCAAGGGATGGTATTATAAAACAGAAGCTACATCTGTTTAACATACAATTCCAAGATTAATTATAACAGGTGCGCGGTACATATATATGTATGTACGTGTGTACGTGCGTGCTTGAGCGTGTAGATGAACGTACGTGCGTGCGTGCTTGAGTGTGTATGTAGGTTCTACTACTTGCGTGTTGAGTGTGTGTGTGTGTGTGTGTGTGTGTGTGTGTGTGTGTGTGTGTGTGTGTGTGTGTGTGTGTGTGTG